GGCAATGATAGCGCAGATTGAGACTTTATCTTTGGCCGAGGGGCGGCCATCATCAGGGTGTGATTGTTTTACTTCAGAGGGGAATAATATCCAACAATCAGCTGAGTGGTCACGGAGGTAGTCGACGACCTTCTGGGTGCGGAAGGGAGCAGATAGCCATTGTATCTGAAACTTGGGCTGATCTGGGCCGGTAGTACTTCGCGAACCTCGAGACTTGCCACCCCTTCCACGGGTGACAGGCCCTGACATTTGGTCCATGGAGAATCTCTCTTTTCGAAAGGGTGTCTGCAGTGCTTTGAGTCGTGCAGAACGACGAGGAGGTCGTGGTCGAGCAGCAGGCATAATTTTCCAAGTCCGCTACGATGCTGAGTGTGCCGCATGTTCTGGTGGCTGTTCTTGCAGGCCTTACCCGAGTTTTGTCAAACTCTAGCCGGAAGTTAGCGAGCTTTAGCGAGGTTTTAATTTCTACTCTGAGTACCACTACTATTTGCTCCATATTATCCTCCACCACCACTGCAGCATGATGCTCTGCTGTCGAAATCTTTAGCATGGACAGCGGACCCTCGCAGCCTCAGCAAGGAGGGCAAATATTTCCTTGCTGAAAATACTCTGTGTCATAGTAATGGCGACGGTCAACAACCTCCTGCTACAAACCATCTCAGAGACTCAGAAAAGCTTGGCATGGCCACTTGGAGGGATGAATTTTTCCGTAGTGCACTAGCACAATTTCTGAATGGGTTAGAAGCCGATGCCTTCTTGTAAGCAAAGATATGAGAGTCTTGGGTTGAAATAACTTCAGATGTTTGGTCAATGGTGCCTTTCGAGACAGGATCAAGTCATCAGTAAACTACAAATTTCTCCCCAGATAATAATGAGACTCAGAGTAAAAATGGGATTTTTGCTAAAGGTCACTAAGGGTCCATCTGGACAATGAATTTCACATTCAAAATTCAAACTTGTGGTCATGTGATCTTACCAGGAGAATCCTGGATGCCACTTGATGGCAGAGCCACTTGATGCAGATGCATATGTACCATTATCATGACAGGATCTAACTCATCAAGTACACGATCAGGCCACTCCCTTCAATCTAAAGGCCAGGTCGATCCTCCCTCTACTACCACACGTCGTAAGCCTGCTGCTCACTGGACTCTTGAAGAGGAAAGAGCCCATTCAGTGAAATAGTCCGTATCTCACGGCCAGCCCAATAGGACAATTCCCTGTACTATACGAGCCATCCCATATGGGCCCATGGGCAATTGTAGCCATAAGATATGGCTGGGCCCATGCTTGACAATACACAAGTGTCTTGATTGGGCCCATAGTCAAATGGTAGGCATATAGCACATTGGCACCGTGGATAATGTTTTGGCCCATGAGTCCGTGACTCACGTCTCAGCCCACATGAATAATGTTTCAGCCCATGAGTCCATGACTCACATCTCGGCCCACATGAATAATGTTTCGGCCCATGAGTTCGTGATTCACGTCTCGGCCCACATGAATAATGTTTCGGCCCATGAGTCCATGACTCACGTCTCGGCCCACATGAATAATGTTTTGGCCCATGAGTTCGTGATTCACGTCTCAGCCCACATGAATAACATTTTGGCCCATGAGTCCGTGACTCACGTCTCGGCCCATATGAATAATGTTTTGGCCCATGAGTCCGTGACTCACGTCTTGGCCCAAATAAATAATGTTTCAGCCCATGACTCGGTAACTTAGGTCCCGGCCCACATGAATAATGTTTCAGCCCATGACTCTGTAACTTAGGTCTCGGCCAACATGAATAACATTTCGGCTCATGAGTCAGTGACTCACGTCTCGGCCCATGACCACATGAATCACATCTTGACAAACATCAATAACATTCCGGCCCATGAACCCTGAATTGCTTCTCAGCCGATATAAATGATGTTTCGGCCCATGGGTTATAGAACTTTCCAATGTTTCACTGTGGCATCCCAGAAGGAAACTTCTAAAGCTGATGTCCCGGTCATACAAGCAATACCGGTCACTCACATTTCCAGTATAGTGATGGAATACAAATAATATGAAGTATGTGAAACAGAACAGTGAGGATGATAAAGTCTACATACTGTTTAAAATGTCTTCCACCTTGCTGTACTTTGCATAATCTGCCTCAGAATACAATGAGTGCTCCCCACGGGGCGTCTTGAAATGGTTATGAACGCTGTCTCTCATGAACCATGCCCACACCCATCGGTTGCCAGTCCGCAGGTCCACTTCATGGCGGACAAGCCGACCGCAGAATGCTACCATCACTCCTGAGTCATACACCAACTCAATACCTAGGTTATGTAACTTCATCCGGGTGCTTGGATAGTTGCCGACCAATGTCATGATGTCAAACCATTCAGGACAGCATTTTGGATTGCGGTGTGCGGGTGACCAGCGGTTGGCCATCACAGCGACACCTGTGAAGACCGATGCCCAGTGTCTAATGCGCTCAAACATCTCGGTTTGACCATTGGAATATGCCCAGTGTCAAATCTCAAGGGTGGTGCGCAATGAGGCCCAATACAGGCTGGGGTGCATGACCCTTAATGCAGCCGAGGCGAGGAGAGATGGTCGTCGCATAGATTTGATAATGGATATACCTTGAGGGCCTTTGAGACTAGCTGATATCTCTGGACAAAAGCTCACATCAGCATTTTCTTGAGCATGACCATGAGGCTTGTGGCGGTCAGTCCCTTGAACGTTGACGATGATGAGACATGACTGACCTCGTGACCTTGTTGAAACCAGCATGGAGATACATTGATGCAGCCTGGGGAGACACCAGGTGTTTCGGTCGGATAGAAATAGGACCTGTCTGTTCTCCAAATGCAATTGGCATTCGCTGGGGACAGACTTTTCTTGAGGAGATCATTGGCACAATGCATCGCTGCACTGATATCCTCCTGCAGCACGGCGGTTCAATGAATGACCAACACGGAAGAACACACTTACCTTCACCCAGTCCGACAGTGCCCCAGGCACATACCACAAGATGATGTGATGACCTGCATCCAACAGAACACAAGGCTTTTCAAGAACCATTTCACGACTGGGCGGGAATTTCTGCAGCAGCCGTGCTTCCTGTGTGTCACTTCGGCCTGTCGGCCATTGTCCACAAGCATTGTTGTATCGTTTCATGTTGACGTTCAGCTTAACTGTTGCTGTTTAGTTAGGACGTAAGTACTGAATATAAAGAGAACCTACTAGGATTGGTATATGCATCGGCCAGAGTTGATGCTAATTGTGCACAACTCAACGTGATTTGAACATCAAGCTCCATGGGTGGAATAATGCATTCAGATCGAGAAACATGGGCCCAAAATTGATCCTCGACGTATTGGCTGGCTAAATGGACCTTTTGCAATGCCCAATCCTTGGGCACTTCGACGGTGTGCATGCAATGTTTTTCAACAAGTAAAATTGTGTAACAGACCGCGGGTGATATCTGCCGAGACGTTAATTATGAGACCTCTGGCTTCCAAAGCACGAGGATGATGGTTAAAAACTTAAGTTGGGTACATGTTACAGCACTGATGGTGCTCGGATGCCTTGCCGAGATGATGATAGCTGAAATATGCTCAAATTATATGATTACCTGATTTTAAAGGGTTACATAATCAAAGCTGAAGGACGTTTCATTGGCTGACTGCTGTTGTTGGTGTCATTAAATACATATTCCATGATATCATGAATCATAGGCTAAATTTGAACCTCAACATATAATATAACACAATTTATGGAGCGTGAAGTTGTTATGCGCAGGTGATCAAGGTGTAAATTATAACTACGGAGCTGTCACCATCTGTCTTGCACAATGTACCACACGGCGGGAAGCTTCCATAGCATGGCCAATGTTAATCTCCTCCGGGTGGCCGAGACACTCGGCACTGATGACAGCCTCAATCTGTTTATCTTCAATCATTCGGCGAACTTCATCAGTAGCATGTGCTGCTGCTGCCCTGACTGCGAGAAGTTGCCTACTCAACGGACCTCCCTGAGGATTCATGGTGGTGGGTAAAGCAGCCAGTAATGCACCCTCTGGCTGTCCTATGTCAGCCGACACATTGCAAAATGACTGAAATCTCACCCGTTGCTGAAAATGTTCGTTCACGATGTCCATCACTTCTGTAAAGGTTAACTGAACTTCTGCAGTCTGGAAACGCATGTCCCAGCGGTCATTCCACCAGGAATAAGGGTAATATTCTACAAGCTGACGACCTTCCCACAAACAGAGATGCTTCTCTGTAGGGCAAGCGAGGAACGAATGGGCGAGTTCTTCATAGCAAAACAACCCCAACTGCCACCTGCAGACGAGGCCCACTATCTGCACCAGAAAAAACGGTAGAGTGGGCTGGATGTTGGCTCCCATGCAAATGTTAACGAATGGCAAGACAAATGTCTCAACATCGGGTCAATTTATTGGAGGCACAAGAGTTAAGAACAAACTCACTTATGCTTCCCAAATAATGTGCTTTCCCAGCAATTGATTTGTTTTGGGTGTGCGCTGCACATAGCTCTTGCCAACGGCATGGCGGATGGCCATGAATCGGGATGTCGCAAACTCGAATACATTGGCAACATCCCAGAGTGTGAAGTATGGTAGTGGATCATTATAGTGACCTCCAGGTCGTTTGCCTTTCGTTGGACAATGGCCAGTTGAGGGCGAGTCATTCCAGGATGAGTTGTCGGAAGTGCATGACATTAGTCGAGATCAACGTAACAGCTATTATGTCGTGATGAGGACTGGTGGAGATTTAAACTCAGCATACATCTCTCGGCTGCACTTTGGAACAATTTATTATGTTATCTCTTACAATGCTCACTGTTAAATCATGACCCTGAAATTGAAGCATGGTGCCATCACTGGAGTTTAGAAAACTATTCTATTTTGTGTGACATTCCAAATAATTCCTCACTTAAAGCATAGTGCATACGGCCATATTGAAACCGAACATGCAGACATCCCTCAACCGATAGAAAGAATCATCTTATATTATGTGTGATGTTCAATAATTGTTTACTTGACACATCCTTCGGCCAGATTGCAACCGAACCAACATGGATACTTGGGCCGGAGCTTGGTTCTATATTGCTGTCTTCGGTCGGATCAAACTATAACATCTTGTTGCTAGCACTTTGAACTATCATACATTATGTGCGAAGTTTTTTCATCAATCTCAGGGTGAAGGATGGTGCTTTTGGCCGAAATGCAACAAACCCAATGGACATCGCTCATCCAGCATTTGGAAAAATCTGCTACCATGACATAAAACATTCAAGCTAGGATGCTGGTCAATATATTTTTCTCCTAGCTTTATATATTAATGTTGTTCACTGGATGATGAATACAGTTCAGATCGCCAATATTGTACCAATTTGTAGAAATGTATCTGAATGCGTAGTAAATGTAACAATGTATTCAAAAGTATGCATGTCAATCCTCATTGTCGCGATCTTGTTCCTCCTCCAATCTCTGCACATTGTATATTAAATCATCTAGTGAGCCAAGCATTCCACGATGATAGTCAAGAACTCTGTATAACCTGACCAGATCTCTACATGCTCGTGTGACCCTGTCTCTTCGTTCAGCATATGATACCTTCACCACACGTCTGGCATATATCATTTCTTCGGCCGTGGGTTCACGGCAATTCCCAATACCTGAAGACATGAGATCTCTGGCAATTCGATCGACTGAAAGATGTGTCATGAGTCGAAATATGTGACAGAGTGCTTTGACTTACTTTCATGGTCATCATTGACCTCCAAGTGATGTATGACACGGGCGATGGCCTCCACAGCATCAGCGTACAAAGGATCGTGGTTTTGAAGGCCGTCCGCCATCCTGGGGGATTTCCAGGACGCTTGTGGGGCTGCACAGCCACCTAAGTTCTCAACTTGACTGGCAAGTACAGCTCGTGTCGACGGTTCATTCATGATGGACTCATCCTCGTACCCCAAGCACAGATCAACTGGTAATGTGATGCCGGCCGACGGATTTACAAGTGTTGGCCCAATTGTGCTATTTGAGGCTATGGTCGGGAGAGCCTCGTCCTCGTACCCCAAGCACAAATTGGCTGGCAGTGATGGATCCATAGATGCCGTGATGTCATTTAGCCGCACTAAACGATTTGAGGATGTAGTGGCGAGAGCCTCATCTGCATAACCACAGAAAGAATTAGATGGACATAGTTTCAGGCGAGTGTTGAACAGTATGATTGACTGACTCACCTGAAGGCGTGGTTTGGATGGCCTCACCTTCATGCCTCAAGCAAAGGTCAGCCGGCGACACCACGTCAGGTGATGGTTCCATAACAGTTGAATGAAGGGCATGATCTGATGACTTCATAGAGAAAATCTTGTCCTCATACCCAAAGTCTAGATTAGCCGGCAATTCAACGTCAGGTGATGACTCCATTGCTGTTGGATGTACTGGACGATCTAATGGTGCGATTGGCAAGAAATCGCCCTCATAACCAAAGTCAAGATCGGCCAGTAATAGGATCTGAGGGGATTGCTCAACACCTGCCCAGTAGCCTTGAGGGTTTTGAGGTGTGGTTGTGATGTCATCTTCCTCATACCCAAGGTACAGATCAGCCATGAACACATCGTCAGCTGATTCTTCTGTGCACATGAGGTCGACAGCACAAGGCGATGGTGTATCAACAGAGATGCGACCGTAAAGATGGTTTGTCTTTGAATTAGGTTCATTTGTTGCTGTCGGCCCGAAGTCCACGAGCACAGATGTGCTATTTTCGGACGAGGCTTGTGATTGCACTGCGTTATCATCACAGCCTGGGTATATTTCGGCTAAATTGATTATGTGAGATCTGAGATAACGTAATGGAGGACATACCAGCAGCTGGCCGTGGCTCGCACAGACCAAGTAATTTCTTATACGTTGATTCTGGTAACATATGGCCATATCCCAGAAATACCTTGTCTGAAAATTGTTAAGTTGTATTGTAAAATAAAATTTGACAAGCTACCTGCTTCATTCATTTCTGCAAGATATTTTTCAGTAGGTACATCATCCTCTTCAGAACATGCTGACAGAAGCGTCAGGATGATCATATGTGCCAAAATTTAAACATACAAGTTTGTGGCGATTGTCTGGGTGAAAAATCATGTTGCAGGTACCCGGTCTCATCACTGTAATGGACAAAGGGCACAGACACTTCAAGACAACAATAAGTACTCGCAAAGCATGATGATAGCTGATCTACACATTGGGGGCCTGAATGTATCAGCAACCGGTTTTTCAGATGCGTTGACAGTCACAGGGAGGGCTTGTGACATGGATATGCCATCGTCATTGTCATAGTTGCAATCAAATGAGGCTGTAATACATGCTATTAGTATGTACTGTGCAAGAATACAATCCACACCTTGTTGGGCCGATGGCGAGGATGACGTGTCATAGCCTGCATGGAAAATCCGTGGGTTGTCTGTAAGTTTGCTATATGATGGCAAATAGAACTTACTGAATGGTTTTTCGATCTCAACTGGAACTTTTTCATTGCCAGTGAAAACATGTAACATGTCATCTGTAGATGCGACCAATGTCAGCCGAAGTACATAGTATGTGAAACTTACAATCTACAATCAAGTTTGAGATGGTAATGTCATCCTTGGACTCAATAATACCTGGCCAGTCATCAGTGTTGCCACTGGATTGAGTGGCGTAACCTGTTTCAAAATCTAACATGTCCACTCATAGTATGACTGAGAGTCAGCCAAAATCTTCTCAACGGAGAATGAACTTATGCTGGTCCGATGCGACAATGTCTTGGTCCTCACTGAAATTATCATAGCCGGTGAAAAAATTGGCTGTTTCATCTAAACATCCAAGGTTCGAGAGTCAACCGAAAATAACATAAAATGGGAAGGAACTGACTGTCAGAACTGTAGTCGGATACTATATTGAATCGTACACGACACACCATTATACAAATGCCGATAACGAACCATTGAAATCTACAAAATTGTGATCAATGCAGTAACTTAGGGCCACAATGATGTCACATTCAACTTAGCTACCAGTACATCATGTGTGTGAGAACCCACAATTAACGCACATTAACGATTAAGGTTGTAGAAATCAATGAATTCCCACAGGTACAACATCACGTGATGTTGGCCAGCTGGTCCAAGCATCTCGTAACTTTGTTTGTCACTTTACTTCTCTTCAATTCAACTCCCACTCGAAATCGAGTACATTTCGTGATCACAAAAGATGTCCTCTCACACAGAATCCAATGCTGCCATGGAACTTGCATACAACAAGATGCAAGACATTGTCTCCAAGGCGTTGAAGATGCAAGATGGCCACCCAGAGCATCAGAAGCAGGCGTTTTCTTTAGCAATTGAACTTGTAAGTCTCAGCTTGGTTGTGATCACACTGATGAATCCTATCTTATCAATGTAGTCATCAGCATTAGGTTCTCATGGCCGATCGGCCACATTGATCCCACCGATGGTGTTGTCCATTGCCACAGAGGTCAAGGATGCCACCTACCAGAGAAAGTTCTTGAGGCCGATTGACTGGCAATCACTACAACACGATGACCCTCGTATCAACGACCACCCCTTCAAGGAAAAAGCTCGTGCGTACATCGCTAACCATACAGTCGAACCAGCAACCATGCCATCTTTGGCAACCGGATCTTCGGACATGGCATCTACATCTGCAGCTGCTGCCATGTTGGAGGTCAATCCTAATCCCACAGCGAAGCCAGACCACATTGCCCGACGTTTCCATACTACCCCCCCTCGCCCATCTCAGATTCAATCTCACACATCCTCCTGGCCTCGATCATTTGGACCCATATCCAGCTTGACGGAAACAAAGGGCAAGGGGAAGGGAAAGGGAAAGGAAGCTGAACCATCGACACCCCATTGGCCGATCGTCTCACAATCCACTCGCCGAAAACACTCTCGAAGTCCAACTGCCCCTCCCAATCGGCCAGTCAAGAGACGCCGGAAATTCAGAAGTCAAGAGTGATCTTGAGTGACACAGAAGACCAGGACACCACGGATGACCAAGACCAAGACGAGGATGAAGAAGAACAGCTCATGGAGGACGACGAACTGATGAGGACTGCCGTTAGCAAGGCGAAAGGGAAGCAGAAGGCTAAGCGAGAAACTGACGACAAAGCTACAAGAGGATGGTCGATGCTTCCATCGATTGTAGTAAAGGTTAGTGATTCTTTTTCTTTCCCTTCAATGTGTTTATTGATCTACAACCACAGCAGAAGAAAAATCTGCCCAGTATGTCCAAGCCAGCACCTGGGACATCGGCCACTTCGAAACGCCCATGGGATTGTGATCTGTGCTTGCGAGCAGGAGTGCCTTGTCTGCCAGGAATCGGGAAACGCACTAAGAAGCCCATTGGCACATGTGCCCGCTGCCACCAGAGCAAGCTCAGATGCAGGCCACCAACAGACACCGTTGTCAGCCCTCCTGCCACAACCACCAGCCAACCAGAGCCAACAGGCAAAAACATAACTTGGTCAAAATCTCGGGCTTGGCCAGTCCCATTCACCAAGACAAGGGTAGGTACACAGCTCTCAGTGGTGAGGGATGAATCTGTATTGCTCGAGGTGTCATCTGCTGGTGGTCAAGCAGGTAAATACAAAATTACTATAGAAATCCATTGTATATCCTAACTAACGATCACAAGATACTCGAGAGTCATCTCCAAATATAACTGATGCTGAAACACCAAACACCGCAGACGAGGAATCAACGGCTGTTGATGGCGACCCCATGCGTAGGCCAGACAGATCCTCCCTCGACATTGTCCCTCCGGCTGATGAGGATCATATCATGCACGACATGACAGCCGACATGGATGCGACAGGTGATGGGACTGGCGAGCTGGATGTCACGGAACAAAGCAATGTACAGGTCAACATTGATTCGAGGGCCGAAGTCAATTCGACGGTGCCACTGGCTGTGCAGCAACAAGAACTTCCACTGGCAAATTCCGACCTTACCGGAGAACATAGACTCACTGGTTTGGAGCAGAGGGTGGATCTGTTGGAGCAGGGAAACACAGTTCTCAACAGCCGGTTAGAGGTCACCAGTGCATCCCTCCATGTCAGTCAACTCCAGCTGACAGAGGTTACACGTCATCTGGCCACAATGGTGGTCATTTACGAAGGCTTGCATCAAACATATGTTTCCGATGACCCTATGTTTCCTGCGCCAGTCGCATCTCAGTCCAACATCACCTTCGTGAGTCTTATACTTCGATACACCCACCGTACTTCTCTTGGAACCTTCGTTGTTCATCGGAAGCTCTTTGGACGCTTTGCGCAACCTCGGACCTTCAGTTTATTGACATCGGACCATCTTCAGACCACCTTCGGACCACTTCAGGACGCATCCTCGGAACATCAAGCGTTCTCTTGGTAACTTTCCTTTCTCTCATCCCCAATCCTAACAAGATATCCCTTGCATTATATCAAGGAGTATTCTATAGGCAGTCTCTTTGGGACGAGCATATCACTCAGCACATTGAGTTCTGAAGGTAACACTTTGTAGAGCCCACACAGAATCAACTCTTTACACCACCGCTGTTCCTGCCACGTGTTTTAGACATGCAATCTATCGAAGAAGAGGTGACTTTTAAATATAATGTGTGCAATGATGTAACTGATATAAGTAGGGGTCGTCTGGATGCATTCTTGGTTGCTTGTGCAACTGGTATAGGAGTCTGATTGGGAGCAAATAGTAGGTATGGTTAAGGGGAGGTGGCCTCTGGTGATGAAAGGGCCAGTCCTGCTAGTATTTTGCTGAGTCCAATGGAAGCTTAGATTCTGTATAGGCGAGGAGTTAAGTGTGGTTTGGTGCATTATATGTTGAGGGTATTTGAGTTTAGGCAGTATTATAGTAGGTCATGTGTCATATGAGGATGAATTAGTGGGGGTGGGTATCATAGTGTTTTGGTTCTGTTGGGTGATTGGGGAATAGGTCAGGTCTATCATGACAAGGACAAGGAAATTTCACTGAATGTAGACTTCATTCTTCCTGTAGCGTTGACGTATCAGATAAGGTGTGGTATGGCTTCTTTGTTTGTTAGTAAGTGCAGGATGGACATGGCTTTGTGTCCTAGTGTGCATATGAGAGAGTGTTGTTTGTGGTGATAGTGGGGGCATGCAATGAGGGAGTGGTGGACATTTTCATTGATGTTTGGGCAGTGAGGACATGATGATGTGGGAGATTTACTGATGCGGTGAAGGTGTTCGTTGAGCGGAGCATGACGAGTGCAAAGGCACATGAGAAGACCTGTTAGACATTTCAGATAAGATTTTGTGAGTTTTATGAATGAGCGATGCAAAATATTTGGATTGATACTGTGCATGTGTGCGTAATGGGGGGATTTGGCCCAAAGCCTCATCCAGTGATTTTGGGTGGTCAGATGATGTGCTTGCTTGAGGGTGGATATGCTAAGAGGAAGTGAGTTCAAATGAAGGAAGTTTGGTAGCTGATTGTGGGGGCTGTTGTTCTGTCAGCCCTCTGCAGCCTTCTTTGCTAGTTTGTTTGCTTTTTTGTTTCCGTGAATGTCTGAGTGACCAGGTACCCAGTGTAATGTAACATCAAAGTCATTGGCTACTTTCTGCATCATGCACTGGAAGCAGTCTGCTAGATATGATCCTGGGTGTGTATAGAAGCTGTCCCCACTTTGGATTGCTGCCTGGTTATCGATGGAGATGGATATTAGGAATTGTAGGTTCTGTTCTGTGGTGATTAGTTTAGCTGCTAGCATCAATTCTACCTCTTCAGCTTTGTATACAGTGTAGAGATACAACAATTGCTGGACACTACATGAAGTAAGTAACCAGCAATATAGAAAAAGTGTTGTGGTCATGCACAGCCTAGTCTGCTATACTTGCAAGACAAGTGCATTCAACCCAAGGGGTTAGCTGTTTGGAATGGGTCTGTAGTTAGTGAAACAATATACAGTCAAAAGTCCGAGCACGAGAAACAATGTCCGAAGGTATATTTACGATGTCTGATGCCAAAGTATCAGGTCCGATGTTTTCAGGTTTCAGGTTAGCAGGTTTCGGGTTCAGGTTTAGCGGGTTAGTGGGAATTGTGATAGTGAATGTCAGGAAAGCAAGCGGTATGTGGATGAACAATAATGATGGGTATTTCAGATAGAAAGAGCGGTAATATTCACAATGTCAACTAAGAACTATGAAATATCGGGTTTGACCACCAAGTATCGGGAAATGGCTCCCTACTACTTGGATGATAGAAATACTCGAGGTCGGTCCAATATATATGTAAGTATGTAGAAATCTGGAAACCCATAGGTGAAAGTAGCGGCCAAATATTTTGGGTCCAAAGTACATGTAAATAAACACGAGGTGCTGCAGATAACAGGAAAACATGTAATTGTGCTGGCTATGATGTGAGTAATGTGTGAAATAATCAACTACACACCTAGTGGGGCTAGCAAGATGGGACAGTGTGTGTGAGGAATGATAGCTAGATGAGAAGGGGTGAAAGGGGGAGAAAGGGTGAAGTGGGGTAATACTCAAATAGACCTCTGGACATGAGTACAGATTCAGCCCAAGGGGATTGCTACTGAGAATAATTCCTCTAAGTAAAATGTGAGGGGAAACTTGGAAACTAGTAAGGGTAACTGAGAATAGAGGGAGCACGAGAAGTTGCGCTGATGCAATGTGAGTGTGAGCGAGCTGTCGAAGGTACAATACAATGTGCGACTGAGCGGCTGAAAGTTTGATGAGGTGCGAAGGCATGGGGAAGAGCCGAAGGATATACGAGAAGGTTTAGCGGAACGCAAAGGCAATGGTGAAACAGGAGGAGAGTTTGACGATAGGTGCAATAGATGAAGTGCGAATGTTAGTGCCACCCTTGGCTGTAGTATTAGACCTAGTATAATGGCAACTACCAGTTTTCCCATAAACACTTTTCACGGCAACTACCACCTGCGCATTTTGACCTAATCCATGGCTCTTGCCACTCTGCCATCCACACCTGGTTCACACCAGTCAATAATGATATTATGGGTATCCAGACTAATAATCATTTAAATGTAGGTTTCAAATAAATGTTTGATTGACGATGACCAATTAAACACAAATATGCGACACAATAAAAATAACACCCAAAAGCCCCTATATGCCTACCCCTCGTCGTCGTCGTCAAAATCTTCGTCCTCAGCTATATATCTAGTGGCTTCATCCTCAGCGGCTGTATCATCTGCGCTAACTCCAGTGCCCCAGAGACTAGTGAAACGAGCCAGTAATGCATGCTGAATTGCTGCCTGCCTTTGGGCATATGCGGCGGTGCCAGCCACGATCTGCACATCCTGGTGTGATAGTTCAGTAACGGATCGCCACTGTTGTGCACACCATGCGAGAAATTGACGTGTTCGCCACATTTCTTCCTTGAGAAGTAACACTTCTTCATTCCACCGTTGTGCGCGCGCGCGAGACTTGGCCCATTCTACATGCAACACTGCCGTTTCATGTCAAAAGGGAGTTGATCAATGCAATAGCGAACACACTCACCATCATTTAGACCCATGTCGTCCTGAACTCCTGAAGTAAGCCAAATCCACGATGTCATCTGATAACCTTGTCCTAATCCACGGGATGCGTCTCTCTCGGACCTCGTTTTTCCGCGCATTCCAGTAGTACTCCTGACACCTGACACTGTGTCAACAGGTGCCACAATATCCTTAGCCTGTAAACATTGAAATTCCCTCTCCAGCTCGTTGATCCCAACCAGTTCTAACAACGCTGACCAAGCGACACAGTACTTTACAGTAGCAGCATTGATTTTGCTATCAAAGCGGGCGAGAAAGGAAGTCGCACGAGTGTTGGCTCGTTGTCCACGTAAATCGAGATTGCGATGTTTGATGAAATGAGACTTGGTATGTAGATGCCTGTGGAGCCTATCGAGTGCATCGCGACACTGTCCCTTGCGAAGCTCAGCCTCGATGTGAGCAATGTCATTCGTACATATTGCTTCTCGATCGCTTGCAGGGAGTGTCGATGGTAGCCAGAGAGATTCATCCTCGACGTCATCAGATGAATCCCTGTCTTGCTGTTCAATCCAGCTTCCAATCCCTACCATATATACCCGCTGTATGATGTGGAAGCAGTCTAGCTGTCGTCGTAGCGTGACCCGGCGTTGGTGAAGTTTGGCATATTGATTTGCACTCAGTGATGATGGGAGGTCAATCTTGATTCGTCATCTGATAATGATCAGAAGGCAGTCTCAAACTATTGAAGGAGTAGAACTTACTGGGCATCTTCAAGAACCAGGGCCATATTGATGAAAGAACTAGGAGTCGTTTCATGTGGAAGTTTACGTCCATTACGGATAGTGATCTTCTCCTCATCCGCAAAATTAACATGTACTTGTGCTTCTGAAAGACCTATGGTACCAGAGTCAGCTTCAACAAAAAGAATTTAAAAATATAGATAGATTTTACTGATTCTGCTGAGCACGTACGGGTTCAGACTTGATTTGTCGCGCTCCCAAGCCTCGATCATCGCACTCCATTCTCCTCGAAGGGCTTCATTGATTGATGAATCAAAGTCGCGCAAAAAGGACTGGTGATGAGTGCATTCCTTGATAGCATTTAAAAGTTTTCTCCGTAGTGAAAGTCCTGTAGATCGATTGAGTCGTTGTATAGATTGAATCAAAACAAAAATCTTACCTAGTCCAGTATATTTATGCCAGTTGTGATGACCGAAATGGTCATCGAGGACATCGTGTTGAGAACCGGGGCCCATTTCCTTCGTGCTGTTCGCAACACGATTCATTTCTGCCCAATTGCGCTCAATTCCTTCACCATCAGTCCGTCCTACGCCTGGTATAAGGTTCAGGGAATGTGGTATCGCACATTTCTCCTCGTGCGCAGGGCAGTGAAACTTAGGGATTCCAAATATAAACGTCGCAAGAGCGACAGCCGCTGGAATCTGAAGGTGTTCTGGAAGCTCATTGATTCTTTTTGTGAGGTTGATTTTCCATTGGCAAGCGATGTCGTAAGATATGATGATGGAGAGGAGGAGGAGAGGCATGATGGACGAGAAAAAAATAAAATCCATATTAGTGTATCTAAATTCTTCATTAGACAGTTGGATATATACACTTTAAACAAACATACCTTTCACCTTTTTGAAGGTCTCCAACTCCTTGAGGTCGAACAAATTCATGGCACGCACAAAGACATAAGCCAATGCCAGTCGCTTGCAACCCACTCAAGTACTTGGATTCAGCATGTGCCAATGTCCTAAAGCCTGAACAAGTGCTAATCTAATGGGTTGGCGTCCTCTAAGCAGGTACATCAAGAGTGAGAATTGAAAAGAAACTTACATCGGTTTGACTTGCGTTCTTCAGTATGTGCTCCACATAGGGTTTGTCAGGAACGAAGTACGCCAGACCTGTGTGCAGCCCAGGATCGGCCGTACTAGAAGACCGAGCCCTGTCCTTGAGACGGAAGTTAGCATCCATAGCAATAATTAAATAGTAGAGAAATCTATGAGGGGGGATTTAATGAATGCAGTGGATTAGAAGAAAAAAAAACTACTTCATTGATCCCTCCACCTTGTCCCAGTCCTCTGGCAAATTTACGCCAGGTTGTGGACAAGCAGGACACTTGATGGCTAATGCACCAGGCTCAGTCTTGTAGATGCCACCGGTTACATTGCCACGACCAGCTTGCTTCATCAATTTAATATGTCGAAATTGACGAACCATCCGCATGAATTCTTTATACTGAGACTATGTCTGGGTCAATATTTGCGATATGTAGGCAAGTGTGATAATGCACCTTAGGTACGTTTAAATGCGTGTTGTCAGTGAGTCGTTCGAGACTTGTATAGAACTCGTAGCCAGATACTTTGCTTGACCACGTCAAAACGAGGAAGAACTCTAGAACCCGTTTTGTACAGGCACTTTGAGGAAAGTGTAAGGTAGCCGGATACCACTCGCAATGTAACAGTTGCTGGCGATGAGACACTCGCTGATGGCAGCCGCAGAAATTGACACTTACATGGTGGATTGCGTTAGTGTGAATAACGACAAAAGAGACGTGCCCTCTTTGTGGACATAAGCATGACATTCCTTGGTGTCCTAGTTGGACTCTCAAGCCCATGTCCGCCAGGGCAATGCGCTCAAAATAAGTTCCGGTCCATTTCTGTGCATTGTCAAAAAATGGAAATAGAGCCAGAACTTTGAAATACTCGCCTTGATGATATGCAAAGGGTGACGTGCGTGCTTTAATAAACAACAAGACTTGCATAAAATTTCCGGCCCATAGCAATCTTCACAGCGATGTAGAGACTCGCGCCTCTCAATGCGAATATACGGCCCTATTACCCACATAATTCCCTACACGTTCCAGCTCTTATCCGAAGGATCAGTCATACGCGCTCTCATGCGCGCGCCCTACGTACGCGCCTCGTTCGCGCGCCTTACACGCACTCGCGCCTTTTGCGCGCGCTCGTGCGCCTCCCCTTAGGCCTTCGTACCCTTGTCCGTCCGTCCGTCCTATGTCCTCGCTGATTTACTGGTGCGTTATTCTTATCCCTTTCACTGAATTGACGTACCTTCGGTCCGATCTCCGCGCTTACATACAGAAAGTCTATCATAGGCTTTAGAATATATTTAGAGTTGATATGGTTACTCGGTTCGGTACCACGCTCGGAAGCGCACCGCATAGCGTAATCTCCCTTCTTAAATAGAGGGAAAGTTCCTTTTAACTTACTTCCTTCCCTTCTCCCTTATCTGAGTATACTGCAAATTGTATAAGTGCACCTTAGTACTTGAAATCCGATTATACTTCACTATTCTACCATCGCTCGCGCATCTGTTATACTTGAACACTCTCCCCCATCGCTCAAAAGCACGCTTCCGTATACGCGCGCGCCCCTCGCATCTTTCGCTCGCGCGCGCCCTTCGCGCGCCTTCGCATTTGCTTACTCGCGCCTACGCGCGCGTTATCTTCTCGCGCCTTTGCGCGCGTTATCTTCTCGCGCCTTCGCGCGCCTGTTACCACCCGTCTAGTTGGCGAAGACTCCCTCCATTACATTAAAGAGGAACTTCTCTCAGTAGCTGTCCTTTGGGTCGAGTCGTATTCTCGTATCCTGGTCTTACTGTAGAACCCCCGTTAGCTTTAGCGTTTCACCTATAGTCAAGATTCCTCACCTTCAACTGGAGCCCACCGCGAGGGACACTTCTGAGACAACCGGTCGGGTACTCAGACCCAACAGTCGTCGCAGAGCTAGAGAAGAAGCCATCGCCGCATTCGACAAAGCTATTGAATCCATTGTACCAGGTCCCTTATTCCTTCAACCCCCACGCGGTCGTTCGCGCAACGTATCAGAACCCGCACGACCAGATCTCGCGTTCCTAGCATGCGCGCATAGGCAACCGATATCACCAGTAACGCCCTCGCCCGAAGAATCTGTCAAAGAGGAGTCGTCCGACGACTTTGAAGCAATAGATAACCCAAGAAGTCAACTTCCCGGAGCGTTCCTCCACACGCCCAATCAACCTCCTTTTATCTCCAACCTGTCAGCGCTAAGCGCGCTAACCGACACCCCGCTTAACACGCCAGCATCCACTGCGCGCGAGAACGCGCTTTCTACGGTGGGATTACCGAAGATCAAGCAAGAAGCATCCGAAACACCACGCGCGCCGAACTCGATTCCAGGCGGAACTATCGTAGCAAATCTCCCCTTCGTATACGCACACCAAGCGCTAACAAGACAGAAGACTCCCGCACCCGCAACATCCCAATCGCCTATCATGTCCACAGTAAGAACCAGAATGCCTATCCGTGGGACAACGGACGCGCCTAAATTCGACGGCACCACGGATAACCTCGCTGACTTTATCGACGCATATGAGCAGCTCGCTGATGAAGTAGGTCTATTAGGACTTGACCGAATCAAAGGCATTATCCGCTACCTCGAGCGCGATGATCGCGAATTATGGGGCGGAATGCCCGAAGCGCAAGTAAGCGATTACGACGCCTTCTTAGACGAGGTGAAGGTAATGTATCCAGGATGGGATGGCAAGAGGCGCTACGCGCTCACGGACTTACAAGCCATTGCGCGCGAGTACGCTAACAAACCAATGCCTTCTTACCAGGAATTAAGTAGCTATCTGCGCGCATTCAAGAAGGTCATGCAACCGCTCTTGGCAGAAGACCATATTGGGAAAGCCGAGCGCGACCGACTATTCATGGAAGGCATTCCTAAAGACACCCAGGCGCTAGTCTGCACGCGCCTCATGATCAAGTTCCCGGACCATTACCCGCAGGACCCATATCCATTCATGAATGTTTTCGCAGCTGGACAGTTTGTACTACCAGCGAACGCACCCGCGCTAAGCGCAACAGCTAGCGCTCCCAAGGTTACGCCACTCGCTAACCTAATTGCCGCTACTGCGCCAGCAAAACCGCCCGCGCAAGGTACAGTAACTAAGCGCGAAGCACCCGTGTTCAACGACTGCGCCTTCTGTGGCAGTCTCGAACATTTCTATCCTCGGTGCATGGAAAGGCAAAGGTACATTGACGCAGGTAAATGCAAGGTTAGCGAGGAGACGCGCAAACTCGTCTTGCCAGATGGCGAGTGGATTCCTGGACGAGGACTCCTCAAAGAACGGTTAGATCGATACCACACGAGCCGGACAACGCAGGACACAACCGCTAGCGCAAGTGTGACGGCCGGGCTCTTCTATCGCGCCCAAGAAGTCGACGCAGTAATCTAAGTAGGATCGTCCGCATTTGTGCACACAGTCGCGCAAATCGAGTCAGAGGAGGATGATCAGACAGATGATCTAATGGCAGAGGCGCTAGCCTATGTAGCAGCGAAGCGAGGCCAGAAGCGCAACGCTAAAGGTAAAAACGTCCGCTTTGATGGCGTGGAAGTACCCAGTGAAACGCGCGCGCGTCCAAGACCCGCGTCAAGACAAGCTACAGTGGAGGAAGAGATAATCTCTCCCGAAATACAAGCTTCGTCTGACAAAGGTAAAGGAAAAGAATTAGCAAAAGTAGCGCCGACAAGCGCACCAACTAGCGCTAAGGCGCCTCACAAGGGCGCCTCGTCATCATCAACCGCACCACCATCATCATCAGCACCACCACCATCCCCTTCACAATCGTTAGCATCATCATCAACACCATCATCTTCAGCACCAGCACCAATTCAATCATCATCGTATCGTTATGCATTCCCGCTTGAGGACAAGGAGGCTGACAAGCGCGTTGTCGAGCGCCTTCTAGATTCTAACCTCAGCATTCCCGTAAGGGAATTATTAGCTGTATCCCCCGACGTTCGCCAACAATTTCGCGAACTCACGACGAAGAAGCGCATCACAGTAGGCGCAGTATCAGTTCACGAATTATCAGGACATCCCGCGACCGATCAATGGTTACGCCAGTACGAAGGCGTGCGCATGCGAAGCGACGACGGCAAGATTGTCGCGGACCACTTTGCGCCCTTGCGCTGTATATGCGCAAAGACAATAGGAGGCCGCACTCTCACTTGTGTCTTAGATCAAGGCGCCGAGGTAGTGGTCATGCCAAGGGAAGTATGGAAGGAGCTCGGTGTACCGCTCAGATCGGACCATAGCCTTAACATGGAATCGGTAAATACGTCGCGCGACTCGACACTAGGTGTTGTGGAGAACGTTCCGCTTGATTTTGGCGCAGGGCCCTTGTACTTCCAGGTCCAAGTCATCGAACGTGCGACCTTCGAGGTTTTACTAGGGCGCCCATTCTTTAAGCTTACTTCATGTCGCACCTTTGATCTCCCCGATGGGGAACAGGACCTCTTACTGACTGACCCTAATGTGCGCAAGGAACTGCGCATTCCAACCCTACCTTGGGTCAAGCATTCGCTCGCAAGAGACGCGAAGTGCGCTAACCAAGCGCACTCGCACGCGCTCAAGGAGGAGGATAAGGGTTTTTAAGTCTCGATGATCCGCAGCATTTGCGGGGAGACGCCTATATGCACTTGTTTCCTCAATCATTTTCTTTATCGCATCACGCTTCGTCTTCTCGCATGGCGCCTGACGCGTTGCGCATCGCGCGCGCGGGAGGCGCTCCTCATCCCTCGCTCTTAAGGAGCAACAATGCATTACCTCCTGTAGTTATACATCAAATTTCTTCATCATCTGTTCCGCAGTATTCCGCGCGTTATGCGCATCTAACATCCACACAGTCCATTATAGATCAGGCGACGATCGACGCCTTCAATTCTCATTATTATTATGATCCCATGCTTCACGCTGAAGGTTCAACGATACAGCGAGGCACGAACAATGCTCCTGACTGTATCTATAATTGTTGTAAGGTCGCGCGTTGCCTAGTCTGCTATACTTGAGACGACAAGTGCGTTCGACCCTAAAGGGGAAGCGAGTGCAGCAAGGATCTAGAGGTATGCGCTGAAAGCGCTACTGGTTGGCCAATGCGAAGCGCGAGAAAGCGCAGGTGCGCGCAAGGCGCGGGAATGCGCGCGTGTATGGCGCGGAGCGCGGGAAAGCGTGCGCATGTATACAGATATGAGAGAGAGTAAGAGTGAGTTTGCTTAAGTGATGATATGATGTAAGACAAGAGAAGAGAGATGCGAGGTGTAAACAAATAGATTTCTACTATGTTCTGCTAGGTGAATAGTGGGTAGTAACCAGTAAGTCCTCTGTCGTTCTGGTGGGAGAGTAAGTTTGTAAGTGTATGTACTGCTGGCGCTTAAGTATGGCGCCTAAGCGCTGTCATGCGGAGCCGAAGCGCTACCGAGTAAGGTATGTAAAGATATATGTAAGTAAGGGTCCATGATAAAAATAAAGATGGAATGATCAGCAAATGTGAGAAATGGAAATATACGCACTAGGGAACTTGGTGGACAGTGGATGGATGCTTCCAGATGGCTGGCGCTATAGGGCGCTACAGCGCGGGAAAGCGCGCGCGCATATACATCGTGAAGCGCGGGAAAGGTACGCGCGCAAGTTGCGCGTTGCGCGGGAAAGCTGCGCCTCATGTAGGAATAGCTGTGGATAGCATACAGAGTGATGCTACAAGTTCGTGCCATGTACTCCCTAGTGAAAACTGTAATATTGCACAATGAGAGGCACGAGTCTCTACAACGCGCTGGTCTATAAACCAGTCGCGAAGAAAGTGCGCACCGTGCCTACCACTATGCCCGCAGAGTATAGAGTAGTGCGCCAATTGCCCAAAGACCCGTTAGCAGGGCTACCCGACTTACCGACCCATCTCCCAGAATTCTCTCCAGGCGCGCGCTTCACGCAGGAGCGCGCAGACAAACTAGACCTTGATCCAGCGAACTGGCTTTGGCCAGAGGAACTCAAATTAGTGCGCTGGC